ATTTTTTAAATTTTTCGGAGCCTTGAACAATTTAAGAAATTTAAAAAATTTAACAAATATAAAAGATTTCGATTTATATTTTTTATATTTTTAGAATTTTTAAATTTTTTATATGTTTAACTCATCTGGAAATCTGGTGATCTCTGAAATCAGTCCTATGATTTACATTTTGTAAAGTTTTTAGATTTTCGGAGGCTCCGGAAAATTTAAAAATTTAAAAAATATAAAAGATTGCGATTTAATTGTTTTTATTTTTTTTAAATTTTTCGGAGCCTTGAAAAATTTAACAAAATTACAAAATATAAAAGATTCCGATTTATGTTTTTTAACTTTTTTAAATTTTTTGGAGCCTCCAAAAATTTTAAAAAATTAAAACATTTAAATCGGACTGTTCTCAGAAATCACCAGATTTCCAGATGATTTAAAAATCTATACAATCTAAAAAAATTAAACAACATTAAAAAATATAAAAGATTGCGATTTAAATTTTGAAATCTGAACATATCAGACGACAGCCCAATTTAAATACTTTATTTTTGATATAGTATATAATTTTTAATTTATACATTTAGTTATTTTAGCTTAAATTATCTCAAGGCAGACTGCGCGGCACATAGGGTATACTCTTCCCTTTTACGGGGGCCCCCCCCCCTGGATCAAATCCCCCCTGCGCCGGTTCACGCCGTCATGGACTTCTACCAGGGTTACTTGTGATTGCCTGCTACCTTTCGTTCACCCCCTCCTCTCTCAAGTCCCATCTCACCGCCTTGCAACGTAGCTTCCAGCTGGGTTGTGTCCTTATGACACGGACCAAGGTGGGAAGACTTCTGCCGGGGTGGCTTTGGCCTCAGCTAGTTTTGAATGCATTGATGAGCGTGATGTATCGCCCAAGAGTGGAAGAGATACACAGCCGCAGCCTCCTTTTCGTAACTCTTTCACTAAATGATCAACGTTCAACAAAACTCATGTCACAGCTATATACCCAAACCATCCCAAACCCAGGTACTCAAAGGAAAGAGAGGGATTGGGGACAGTCACTGCCAGGGCTGCTAGGGAAGCTCCATGAGCGTGCCATGATATTTTGGGGATCGTACGTGAAAGCAAAAGGCCACAGGCGTTGATCGCTTGGAATTTGTCATTGCATTGTGTTCTTTTCCTTTTGGATAGTAACAAGACGTTAACAAGTACATCGCTGCTAGCAACAAGGGCATTACTTTACTAGTAAAAAGAAGCTACAAACGTAGCGATGCCCTTGTTACAATTCTTCTGTTTTTGTTTGGAAAAAGATCACCCTCCCGGACTCCTGTGCATACACATTGTTGGCGATAGAATGGGGTTCCAATTATCGACGAAGACGCATACACGTGGCGACCAGTCAAAGCGTCCGCGGAAGGCGACATGTCAAGACGCAGTAGCGAAGCATGAGGTCATCGTACGAGAGAAGCATGAGAAGTGCGGAAAAAAGACACCATCATATACAATACAATAGTGACACATCTTTAGCCTCTGTTAGCCTCTGTTAGGCGGCAAAAAAGGGTCATCTCCCCACAGAAATCCACAGGCAGATTTTGATTTCGGACGTCATGAGGGGTCGGAGATTGAAAGACGAAGCAGCTGTTTTACTTGAACGTTGCGAACTTCACGCCCCACAAAGTATCGGCCATATCACAAACAAGCCACACTCACACTGTGTGCCACACTCACACATGTTTGCTTGCAGAAGACGTTCCCAGCTTTGTGTTTGCTGTGGAGGCCTTTGGCGAGACAGGCAGGGGGTGCCAGTGGTTTGTGAAGATTTGCAGAGTTTGTTTTTCACATTGGAGGAATTTCTATAAATTAGGTCTAGTCTTTTTCAGTTGCTTCTCCACTCGTGACAAGAACATCATATTTAAAAGCATATGTTACAGTATAGTATACCAATGCTTGCATCCTCCGGATGTCCATGAGCTGATGGCATTCCATGGCTTTTCATTCTCGCAAGCCGCGGCCCTGCGGGCTGGCAGATGATCCGGATGAGTTGTCCCAAGTGCTGCAGTGGGGGCAACCCAGCAATGGGCTTCGACACGGTGAGAGACCTTCGGTGCGAGACCAGCGCAACAGGTTCCAGTGCAATGTCCATAGCTAGTTCCTGCAGTGGTTTGGCTTTATGAGAGAGAGAGAGGGAGATGAGATACTATACCGAGCCAAGTGACGGTTCAACGAACCTTGCACTTCACCTGCATTTTTGAGTCTTTGGTGTTTCTCAGATCTCAGAATCTTGCAGGTTGCATGGAGCAGCTCCTGCTCGGTCCTCGCTTGCGGGGTTGCCATCTGGGCCAGGCACCCACGCTTGAGAGCCTCTACCATGGTGGCAACCTTTTAGAGCTTACACCGTTCCACTGAGAAGAAAAGGGAGCAGAAGGGAACTAGAAAGCGGCCATCAGCCTCTCATGGGTTTGTGTTCAGGCTACTTGCGCCAGCCACTCACAGAAGAGTTGAGGCCACCATGCAGAAGTGCAGAAGGGTCGAGCAGTGCATGTGCATCCAAGCCGGATATTTACTACATTTTATTACAAAGGAAGCCGCCTCGCCGCAAATTTGCGACAGATTGGTTTTAAAGGTGGATGGTTTATCATTATTTTTTCTATGTTTTGCTGCAGTAGGGATGGAGGGCACAGGAAGCTTTCTCGAGTCGCTTTCTCGAGTAGGGCATGGAAAGCAATACGATCAATACGTTGGATAGTTAAATAGAGTCAACATCCGTTGCGATGTAACTTTCTCTGGTTCGTTGACTCAGACATGCTTCACGAGGCGTCCCAGAAGTGCCACTGACCGTGGGACTGAAAGCCAGCGGAAGGCAGGGGTTGGTGTAGGCTATAAAAAGGGCCCAGAAACATCCAGAAACATATTCACTATATATTCACTTTGTGTGATTTTGAGAATTAGCTTATTGGAAGAAGTAACTCACAGACTAATGACATGTGCCGTACTACCTCGCTTACTGTCGGGCAAACTCGGCATTTCTTTTTTGTTTGTTTGGTTTTGTTGGTCATTTCAAGCGTACACGGTGACAGATTACAGTCTCCGGCATAGTTTCCGCAGGGCGAGTCCGGTACAACACGTTGGTGGGTCGGTCACGGGCGGGACCGACCGACAAGAGTGAGGACAAGGAATGAGCAGTAGCGTAGGCGGGGGGTGAGGAGCATGCGGAGGACGGAGGAGTTTCTTTTTAACTCTCAAATCTAGAATCTAGAGACCCAACAAAGTGACACGTGAATTACTGTAATTAATCGTCAATCATCTAACCTTTGGCTGTTTGCAGTCTCCAAAAACAACATTCGAGTGTGCAGTGTGGATATCATCTGGACAAAAGAGTCGTCAGGTTTTACAGATCCTGACGTTTGTTCAGATCTGTTCAGATTCAGATGGTTGAAACATTGCGGACCTGTGGGACTTATCGATTTCGTACCTCCTTCGATCGGTCGGTCGAATCGCGGCAAGAAGAACTGACAGGCCCTTGAACGACTGCGGGCTGCCCAAGCGAAGCATGACGAGGAGTGCGTGAAGCTGGCAAAGACATGCGGGGTGTCAATAAAGCATTGAAATAGGACACGCAAGGTATGGAAGGGCGAAAGGACCTTGTTCGCTACTTGCAGAGTGCAGTCTTGGACAATTCTATTTTGTGCAGAAAGAAAGACTAGAAGATGAAGGCCATTAAAGGTCTAATTATTCCAGCCATGCAACCTGAGCAACTCGAAATGCTGTGCAAACTTGTGCTATGACAGCAGATTTTTCTGGTCTAAATTAAATGTTCAACATGTGCGTACAGTTCGTTCTTGTATAGTATATAGACCTCCTTGATAGAAGCAATTGGCCCAAGCAGATCAATATATCAAGTTGTTGTTTTTTTCAGCTAGAACATGCTAGAACTACTTTAGCAAGGCATTGCAGGGAACCCATGTTCCTCTCTTCATCTAAAGGACCAAATATCAATCAATGCCAAGTGCAGGCCGCCGCAGCTGCTGATGAGCAACGCCGGAAGGCGGGAAACTGGCCTCCATGGCCTTGGGGATGAGATGTTGGGAATGTCCTGAATGCCCGCAACATTTACATGCAGATGTCCTGCACGGATTAGATTTTCATTACTCCTCTTCATGGTTTATCCTTTTTGAACTAAAACCGCATTACTAGCAGACTGCCTAAAGCAGCACTCTCTTCGGATATTTGACATTACATGGAGATCTGACATGTAATAAACACATAATATATGTATATATATATATTTATAAGTGTCTTTTCCACGCGCGACAAGATTGGGGTAGCTAGATTTTAGAGCAGACAGCCCACCCTATTGTGGCCTCTGCTGTTGCAGGGAATTAGCCAATTACCCGGCCAGTCCAATGACTAACAAGACAACCGACAACAAGCCATGACACCGATAAGACTCGAACCCCAACACTGACAACACATGAGTCACATGACACAAGAGATGAGAAGCAACGATACAGACAACACACTCACAATGAGCTGTTCCCGCTGACCAGTGTGACATAGTGTGACCAGTGGCCTGACCCAACGGACCCAGTGGTGCCGGACACCAGCGGCCCGAAGCCACCAGTGTCCCGCCAGCCCGATAAGAGACAAGAAACGACGCACATAATGGCAACACCAAACGTAACCACAACCCGGATACCACTTGACAGAGCACTAAGGACAAGCATAACAGGAGACAACGGAGATTGACAATATATATGCATAAATATATATATATATATATTGACGTCATTTACGCCACCGCATAATATTGGATATGTTTGGACAAGTTTGGTTGGGTCGCTTGAAAATCATATAAACGTGTTCAAGGTTGGAATAGCTAGGACGGGCTGTTCCCACACCATTACAGTAGTTGTCTATGTGACACTCTAGCCAGTGAAGGAGTGGAGGTGATATTGAGCCATGCTTGAGCTGCAAGGTCCTTCCCCTGATCCGATGGCGAGACAGTGCCACTGCTGCAGCGCAACAAGGCGCTTGGTGTCGCGGCGCAGCAACAGACAGGTCTAACAATCTAAAGGCGCAGTGGTTGCTGGAATGCAGTGGTTGCTGGAGCGATCCGAACTTCGGAAGGATCAGTGATCACTCTTTCATGAACAAAAGGGGCGCCGCTGCCTCAAACAATTTTTTAAAGAAAGGGGCGCTGCAACCGTGCTTGGTTCTAGGCAACTTCGATGCATGATATCATCGGCTGCTCTTGGCAGGCACGGAGGTGTTGGCAGGCGCGGTCGCCTTGGTCATCTCTCTTTGCAGAGCCCTAACAGTTCCGCATCTGAGTCGGTGAGTATTCTATGTTTTTCCAGGCCAGGCCGAGGCCTTTCTCCGGGTTGTTGATTGTTCAGTTCTCGACCCGGCGGGATGTTCGAGAAATGTTTCCGGAGATCGAAAGATGCAATGCGACCCAAGCGAGACCAAAGAAGCCTGGCTCAAGCAAGCTAGTGAACCTTACGCCTTACACTCGCTCATCTTACCCAATTCTCTTTGTTCTCATGGTTCTCCATGCTTCAATGAGTTGGTTGATTCTGACTTTGAGCTTTGTGTCCTTTCCCGTTCTGGCCTTTGAGATCTCGGAGGAGGTTTGTGAGTCATGCACAGCCGCCTCAGGTTCCAAGCTGATGCAGCTGCAGCATGCCCGCCTTGAGCATCATGGTGCACCAAAGGAGGCGATGCTGCAAATCATTGAGGAGGAGTTTGAGGATATCGATGACGTAACTGGCTCCATAGACGTTGATGCCCTGTTTTTTGACGAGGAGGCGTTTTTGAATCTCGGTTGAAGACGAAGCCGAAGAATTCGCTGATTTTTCCGAGCTCTTTTGACATTACTCACATTGACCGGCAAATTTCTAATATTTAGGGTCCAAAGTTTTTTTGGTTTATTCGAGACCACAAGAGAGGAAATCCAAGAAGTCTTGGCAGCTTTGTGCTGATCATGATTGGAACACGATTGATTTGGAGGATGCTGAGCAGCTCATGACCGTGTCTCTAAACAGGCTTTGTGATCTAGGAGATCCCACGTGCAAAGCCTTTCTCGCTGGCTTCAAGGCGATGAATTGCCCAACAAACACTGCCTGCCGATGGATGGTACTCGCATGGGCTGATCCTAAATTGAACATAATAGGTAACATTAGGTAACTAGTTGTTCACGGGCGCACTGGTCGCCTGGTACAAAATGAGGCCTGTGTTGTAAAACCGCTTGTAAACACCAGGCGACTGATCAATCCGTGGGCAACTATATAGTTAGTTATTGGTTCATAACGTTGGCCCATACAAGGTTCTTTTGGGGTTTCGCCGGTCGTTTCACGTGGAACAAAGGGAGTGGTGAGCTATGAGTCTAGGATCGTAGGCCGTAGTTCATAAAAACTTGATAGGCTGAGGTAGCCTGAAGGCTTGATAGACTCACACTGTCCTCTCACTATAGCAGAATGGAGCAACTGAGGTTGAAAGACCAAAGCGTTCACTATTGTGAATTTGAGGTAGGATCTCATTCTGTTGAGCCAGGTTGTCACACTATGTTGTGTCTGCCGCCGTTTGGCTCCTAGGGCCCTTGAGCTATACCGTGCTCGCTTTCGCAGTGAAAAGAGCGTGTGGACAGTACGATTCCGGTTGCTACCGACATTGGTAGCGGAGCAGGGACATTGGTAGCGGAGCAGGTGACGGCCTGACTCCGGCACGTACTGATCCAGGTCATTGGAATCGTAGAACATCAAGCCTGAGCTTGCATTCCTTGCGTGCTTTCGCTTGCCTCCTCTGATCCCGTTGGGGACAGAGCCCGGAATAGATTGCTCGCCCGAGCAATCTCCGTCGGAATCGTCGAACATGTCCATTGCTGGACTCAAGTTCCATTCGGGTAGCACTGGTGATAGAATAGGCAACCCCCTGGAAACTAAGAGTGGGTCTTACATCTATTGGGGAGATCCTGCATCATTTCATGATTGGAAATTTCGAACCGAGCTCCGCATCAAGCTGTACGACCAAGCCCAAACGCAACCAGCAAAGAAGCAGGATCCCGTGACTGGACCTGCCGACGAAGGGGAGCCTTGGCCACCAGAGTCAGACGAAGGATTCGCATTCCCTTCGCCTGGACACTATCCCGAGGAGTTTGAGCCCGAGCCGCGTGAGACTGCCGGTACTCCCAAGTCGAAGGTTGATGCAACATCACCGAAGGCTTCGTCCGTTAAGTCAGACAAGTCGAGTATCATCGATCGCAGTGTCCTAGTGAACAAGATCGTAGAAGGTTTGAGAGGTGATGCCTTTTTGCTTGCCAGAGACTTAGGTCTAGAGACACTCGCACGTCCAGGGGGACTGGAGCGTCTCATCGAGGTGATACGTAACCATGTGTTTCCTCGAGCCTTGGAGGAGAGTAAGGAGCTTTTTCGCGCAGGACAGAAGCATGGAGGACCACTGTCGAGACAGCCTACAGAAAGCATGTTGTCGTACAGTCGTACACTCAGCGTCGACGACGCTGGTGGACCTTGTTGGTTGAGCTTGACCCCACAATGATGATCTCAGAAGCTTTCCGCACGGAGCTGTTGTTGGAGATGTCAGGTATCTCTAGGCAGGAGATCCTCGTGGTGAAGGCTTGTCGCAAGAACGATGACTTCGAAGGTACTGCACGGGTCCTGGTTGACAACTACAGTGGAATCCATCTTCGTGAAGGGTCCCGATCCTGGACAGGACGGGGAACTCAGCCTCAGGTAGGCAAAGGCAAAGGGTACCAGAAGGGGTACCAAGGTAAAGGTAAAGGTAGCCAATACCCTCGTGCTGGTTACAATGCCATCTATCCCGATTGGGAAGACAATTTCGATTGGAGAGATGAGGACTTGCAGGAGCATCATCATGAAGAAGATTCTTTCGTAGGCATGCTAGGAGGGGTTGAAGAGCCTGAAGAACATGAACATGCTAGCCATACTGAATACGAAGATTTTGAGTATCATGATGATGTTGATGAATATGAAGCAATTGCCTTGAATGCAGTAGTTGATTGCGAAGATGCCGAAGAACGTTCCTCAGGTGATGCTATCCAATTGCAGCTTGCCGCATTCGTCGCTTTCGGGAAGGCAAAAGGCAAAGGCAAGGATAAATTCAAGGGGAAAGGAAAAGGCAAAGGTAAGATAGTGAAGTCTCACCTTAGCATCGAGCAACGTCGACAGAAACTGTCCGAGATCAAGGCGAAATCCAAGTGTCTTCGTTGTGGTGGTTTAGGTCACTGGGCCGGAGACCCCCAATGTAAGATGCCCAATGCCCCGAAGACTGGATCGGCCCCGAAACCTGCTGCACACATTGCCCACATGAGTGATTCATCCGAGGACGAAGGGATTTTTCTAGGCGCGGCGTCTCCAACCGACAGCGTTGCTCACATGGCCGTGAAGGCCAGCTCAGGAGTTCGTCCGGAGGCACCAGTGAGTCCCAACGACCTCGTAAGGCCTGAGGGGAGCGATAGGAAGTTCTTAGCTGGACAGTTCAGTCAGGGGGAAGACATTTTGGCAGATCCTTCATGAACATCCTGACTACCACCAATGGGCCATCAAGAATGGCAAGAGTCCAATCGCTTCGGCTTTCGTCACGTGGGTTGATCAGCATTTTGAATACAGGGGAGCTTCAGTTTTCAGGAAGGTTGGTGGTGCTTCTTCTTCTTCGTCATTGCAGCCTATCCCAAAAGGGTCCTCAAGGAAGAAACCACCATATCCACCAAAAGAGAAATGCAAGAATTGTTCCGAGTTCACCAAACAAGGGAGCACAGCATACACCATCAAGAAGACATGCCTTGTCTGTGGGAACTCCACCACCGAGCGTAGAGAGCAAGCCCCGAAGTTTGCATATGACGATTGCCCGCACTCGGACACCGATTTTCGAGGTTCTTCCAGGTCTGTTCACCGTGTGTTTTGCAAGCTTTGTTGTTCGTTTTTGGATGAGACTCCGATGGAGCTCCAAAAGACTAGGAAGGCAGCCTCTGAGAAAGTCGTCAACGCACCGCTCGATAGGATCCCAATGATTGAACGTTTGGTTGAAGAGGAACCCGAAGAAGGACACACCCCCGAGATGCTAGAGAAGATTTTGACTGAATTTGCCGCCCAAGTCGCGTTAGCAGCCGAAACCGAGGCAGTGACTTCGATCAAGCTGCACGAGCTCCTCCACCAGGCCATCGAAGAGAGCAAAGGAGACTCGTTCACCATGATTGATTACACCGAAGATCCAGACCCCTTTGCAGGGATCGGCATTTGTTTTCATGGGGAGGAACCTGCTCGCATGACGGACGGTCTGGTGCATATCTTTCACGAATCCAGAGACATGTACAACCCAGACGACAGAAACATCTACATCGTGCTCGACGAAGGATGTAATTCCACCTGCCATTCGAAGCACTGGGGAGACGTTGTTGAGGCCAAGTTGAAGAAGCTAGGATACGACTTCCCTTTTTCGACCACGGCATCGAAGAATTTTGCCGGTTTAGGTGAAAATGGGACCACCACTGAGGGATCCCGCACGTTGCCATTTTCGTTGCATTTCGAGACAGGCAAACCCGTGCATGGTGTCCTCGAGTCCCACCAGCTTTCGAAAGGTCGTTCTCCGCTGCTTTTGTCTCTCCATGCACAAACGCATTTAGGATTGGTGAAAGATCTCAAGAATGGTTTTGTCAGCATAGATGGTAACCATCTCAAGGTATACCGATGTGTTCACACAGGTCTCATGATGTTGGCAGTCACCCCACAACAGCTGATCCAGAGTTTCCAACAAACCTCAGAACTTCAAGTGATCCCTAAGTGCCACAGACGTTTTCGCACTGCGTATCCCGCGATGGAACGCGGATGGAATGGCGAGAGAGGTTTTCAGGCCAATTCTGCGACCGAAGTCAGCAAAGCATTGGACACCATGGTATCGAGCCTGCAGCCGCGAGAGTTCTTGATCATTACTGGTGGCGAGAGATTTCCGGACCGCATCAACTTTCGGAGCAGCTCGTACCCAATCCTGGAGGTGAACGCGAAGGATTTTTATGATCCAGATCAGAACGTGAGCCTGGGAGGCCACGTAGGCCGCCATCCTGAGATTGTTCAAGGACTTCTTCGAGGCAAGAGATCGCTGGACACGATTCTTCGAAAGGTCGACAGGTTTTGTGATGAGGAGGACCGTGGTGTGATCGACTTGAAGTGCAAGAGTGGAAGGCATCGGAGCGTTGGTGGTTCGATCATCATATACAGACACTTGAAGGCCAAAGGCATTTCTT